CCAGCAGTCCTGAAACAGGAGCCATCTCTGACATGATTAGTGGAACAAGGAGATTTGGCAGATGTGTTTTCCTCTTGGCTAGATCTTTACCATTTTAATTTGCAAGGAATGTGGCTTTTATCTGTGGCAGCTGTGGCTGAAGCAGCCCAGGTACAGCTTGTTTCAGTGCAGGGCTGTGTGGGCAAGAGGCTTTCCTGCCAGGTGAGTGACAGAGCACTGGGAGGTCTTTTAGAGATAGATTGAGGCAGAGAAAGACCCCGTGTGCTGTTGTGGAGAACATCTAGGAGGGGATGCTCTGTCCATTGCTACATCCAGCATTTCCTTCCCAAGGGGACTTCAAATGTCATGTCACAGTATAAACCTGCCAGGACTTGAGTCCTTGAGCTGTGAGTCAAAGACATGTGTTACTGCAAAAGGACCTGGGCAAGAAATGTCTTCCTCCTGCCCTCCCTGTGAATACACAGGAGTGGGTCCCATGAAATGGGGAATAGGCTTTTGTGGGGAGCAAGCAGAGCAAAAGAGACGTTCCTTCTGCATCCAGCAAGGCTTTCCTGTTACAGCACTCCTGCTGATTTGCTCCTGTTGGGTTTGGAGCCTTGATGTGCTGTTGGAGAAATACAGCCTTGTTTTTCAAACAACGTGTCCTTCCAGGTGGCACTTGGCCCAGTGAAGCTGCCATGGAGTTGTAACTGGAGAGCTCTGTGATGTCCTGGAAAGAGTCTGCTCTGCTTCTCCCACATGTGTTTGGGAAAAACCAAGGACACATCAGTCCTTAAATGGGGGGAAAAACCCCTTTTGGGCTGGAAAATCTTGCCATTTCCATGGTCTTGATGTACTTGTTGTCCCTGAGTCTTCCTTGCTCTAAAAATTGCATTGCTGTCCTCTCTGATTTGCCTTCTGTCACCCAGCCGCTGTGGGGGATGAGCACTGAGATTTTGGAGCTGTGATTGAGTGTAAGGTCAGTGCTGCCTGTAAGATGGTCCTGAGGGTGGATTCAGTGCTTGTGAGCAACAGAGGTAGCACTGAGAGCTGGGCATCTGCAAGCAGAGAGCACCTTGAGATTGGGGATTATGCTGAGGGAAACCAACCCTTGGGCAACTCTCCAGGGGAGGGTGGATCCAGCTCCAGGCTCTCCCAGGCCTCATTCTTTCACTTGCAGACTGCTTGCAGGTCTTGCAAATACAATGTGCCAGCAATTCATCCATGTCTCTACAACAAATTTTGGCATGAGAGGTGCCTCCAGGATGATGTAAGTTGTCTGCATCTCTCCAGGTAGCTCTGGTTGCTTCACTGTCCTCTGGGGCAAGACACACTTCAGTCTTCCTCCCTTGGTCCCACATGCATTTTTGGGCAGCCCTTCTCTCAGGCATGGACAAGAAGGATGATGACTTGCTGTCCTGCTGAGGACATCATGATTTTTTCTCCCATCCTCCAGCTTGAGGGTGCTCTTGCTGTCTTTCTGCTGTTGTCCTGGCAGAACTCAGGTGTCCTAAGTGAAAGGACTCAGGGCTGGCACTCCTGGCCATATTTTTGATTGGATTTTTTGAAACATTCATCAAATAACACTGGTGGAATTGAATTTCTCAAAACTGCCTGGTTGGGTCTCTGCAAAGAAAAGCTCTGCAGAGCAAAGGAGGGTGCATGGAGAGGCAGATGAGGAGGATGAATTTCACCAACATTGTGTCTAGGGCTGCTCTACCATTGCCCAAGGCTTCCAGCACAGAAATAGGTGCTGTTAGCACGTGTGGCATCGGTGCCCTGCACCCTGCCACGTGTGCCTGGACCTGCTGTGTGTGCCTCCTCCTTGCACAGCCCTGCATGGGACAGCCCTCTGGCCTGGCTGGTGCTTGCTCACAGGCTCCCAGCTCTTCCCCACTCCTTGCAGCTCATAGTGATCCCCTGTCCTGGCTTATTGCAGGGCCTGGAGCCAGCATGGCTCCATAGCCTTGGTCCACAACCTGCTTTCCTCCTTGTGACACTACTGTCAGGGCTTTTCCTGGGCTGTGAACACACTGCCACCTCTCCTTTCCTATCTGTTTCATCCCTCTGCAGCTCAGAGAGCCCCATCCCTGTAACAGCAGGGAGGGCAGGAGCTGGCAGCATTCCTCACCTGCCCCCTGCCATGCCCTGTCCTGTGCCCTGCCCAAGGCAGGCTGTGCCCATGTCCAACCTGCCACCATCTGCATGAGCCAGAAGGGGAATATTCGGAGTATTTCTGTTAACCTGTAGCCAGGAGAGAGCTGCCAAGGAGGCCACGCTGAAACCTGAGGCGGCTGTTTTTCCTGAGACTCAGCATTTGGCAGGGAGAGCAGGCGGACAAGTGGTGGAGCAGGGAGGGATGCAGTTGCCCTGGGGAGCAGCATTGCTGGGGAAGGTGCCCAGGGAAGGTGTGCTGGCTTACCTGTTTGTCTCTGGGGGTCCATCTCCATGTCCTCCTGGGCTGAGATCACGTGTAGAGTGAAGAGGAGGTGACCCTTCTGTCCTTACATGTGCCTCTCCCCTTGGTCACCCTCCTTGCATCACGTACTGAGCATCTCCTCCAGCAATGAAGAGCAATAACTGTTTCTCCACAGAAATGTCAGGAATGGTCCCAGTGCCCTCTCAGCTCATCTGCAGGGTTCGGCTGAGCCAGCCCAGGCAGCAGCACTCGCCTTGCCTGGATCTTTTTTCCTTTATAGCTCAGTGTTATCTCAAGGTCTCTGGCGGTGCCGCCGGCGCTGTTTGCCTTGTCCTGCAGCACCTGCCTGCCAGCCGCTCGCTTCCCACCACGGCCCTCCCACCTCTGCACGGCGAGGAGGGGTGCTCAGGGGGGAGCAGTCCCTCTGCAGGGCTGCAAGTCAGCCCCAGGGAAGTGAGGGCACAGGGAAGTTGCCAAGTGTGGGATGGTGGGAGAGATGCTGGGGGACATCTGTCCCATCATCTTTGTTTCCCCATCCCTTTGCTGCTGGGGCAGGACTGGGCATTAAATTGAATCAGGGACCAGGACTCTGTCCCAGCCTGGTGTCTGCTGCCAGGACAGAATATGACTGAGCTGCCATGCCCTGCCCTGTCCAGGCAGCATCAGCCCTTCCAGCTGTGGGGAAAGCCAAGGCTTCATCCAAAAGCTGAGATGATGTTAAATATAGATCAGTCGTGAACTGGTTTTCTCCTTCTTGGTTCCTGGCCCAACAGCTCATTCCTCCCTCTGGGCTGTCTTTGAAACTCTCTGGATGCTGTGAGACACAGGCTCCATAGCAGCCTGCCACTGCAGGGAGGTGTGGGGAGAAGAGAGCTGCAGGAATGGTCTAGGTGGCACAGCTGTCCCAAAAGTATTTAGTGGTTTGTGAGTGCTTTCTCCCAGAAAAGAAGCAACGCTGGAAAAAGAATCTAATGAATAAATGGGGAAACAAAGCTGGGGGAGGAGCCCTCTTTGCCTCTCTGCTTGCTTGTGGTGAGGGGCACACGTGTCTGAGCAATCCTGGCCACACAGCAAAGCTCACTCACCCCTGCCCCCTGGAAAAGACCTGCCAGGCTGCTGTCCCTGCTCATCCCCTCAGCCAGAGCGATCCCACTGGTCCTGCATGGCTCTGCAGGAGCTCCTGGCCCTGCTGCAGTCACTGTGTCCCAGGCTGCTCCCGGGCTGGTGGGCTCTCCCCTCCAGGGAAATGCCACGTCTCTCACTTCGAGACGGGTGTTCTGGATCCCAGTATCCTCCAGTACCCCTTTTCTGTCCTCCTGATTCTTTAATGTAGTTTTCCAGGTGTGAACACTGAGTCTCGAGACAGTTTTAAGATGCAGCTGTGAAACCTATTATCAGTGTCCCTGCTATCAAAGACATGGTGTTCAGGGCTGCACGTAACCACTGAGCAATTAAACAGCAACCCTGGTGATGAATTACAGCTGAGACCTCCTGGGGCTAAATAAATACTGGCTGATAACTACCGATAAAATGAATTTTTGTGTGTTTTTTCTTAAAAGCACCCTTCCAATATCCATGCCCAATCCTGGCACTGCACATGTCCTGGAGAGAGCCACATTATCTGTGGCATTTCCATCTCTAGCACCTTGGGTTTCCAACCAGAGCTGGAATAAAAATAAACTAAAGAAATCTACGTCCCTGCAGGAGCCAGGAAAGACAACACGGAGGTGGGCAGGGAGGGAGAGAAGTGAGAAGCTGAGGTTTTGGGTAACAAGTTTAAATATCTTTTCCCCCACTGATTCCACCCTAAAGATATAAAAATACTGTTGAAGTGCAGGGTATCCCTTGGAAAAACCTTTAGGACAGGGAGAGGTGCAGAGTGCTGGTGGCAGAGTGGTGGGGAGCCCCAGGTGATGTGAAGGAGAGCAGCAGCTGGCAGTGCTTCACCCAGCACCTGCCCAGGGGAGAGGTGTGAGCCCACCTGCACAGGCACCCTTGCACCCTCTGCCTGCAGGGGCTTCTGCTCTCCCAAGGGAGTTTGGAAACAGGCAGAGAATGGACCTTCTTGGAAAAATGATCTTTGCCAGTGACTTGGAGAGACTTCTGAGCAGGTGTTGTCTGTGCTGGCATCTGGGGGCTTCTCTTCTCGTGCAGGAGTATCAGGAGGGCTGGTGCTCTGCATCCCTGCATGCAGCTTTCCCACTCTCCGTGGCTGCAGAGAACAGCCACACAGTCAGGGAAAAAGCATTTGGCTGAACATCCCATCTGCCTGGTTTGCAAGTGAAAATAAGGCTTGTCCAATGGCCAGCTCCACCCAGAGAAGAAAATCAGACCCTTTGGCAGAGTGTTGCTACTGTAATGAAATTGAGCTGTGCTGAGACTGCCAGTCCTTGGAACAGGAAAGACTCCATTTGGATTCAGAGAAGTTTGGGGATGGATCTGTCAAAACTGCTGCTGTTCAGGGTTTTTGGCACTGCCTGGGGACCCCACCACAGGAGAATGCTGCCTGTGGCTGAGCTCACCCTCAGCACTGATTGCACCTTGTCTTCTCCCTGCAGCACATCCTTCCAGCACTGGAACTCTCTGCTCTCCCAGAGCCATCATGAAGCTCCTGCCTGCTGCCCCTCTCCTGCTGCTTCTCCTGACAACACTGGAAGCCAGACCAAAACCTGCAGGTGAGCCCTGGCTGGTGGGGAGTGCATGGAGGGGAGAGAAGTGAGGACATAGGGCAGTGGAGCCCTCGGAGCACAGTTTGCTGTGTGATGTGGGGGGACATGATGCCTCTTCTTTGGGAGCATCCCCAGGAGGATCCCCCCAGCAGTGGGACACAAACTTCCTGACCCCAGCATGGTGTCTCTTGTGCTGCTTGCTCTGGGCACCTCCTCAGCTGTGACACAGCCCTGCCCAGGGCTTGTCACCCTCCAGGCCATGGGCTGTGACCTTGGCAGGAGGCACAGCTGTGAGAGAAAGACTTCTCCTTGCTTGACTCTCCAAGCACAGGGGACAAAGCAAACCCAGAGGTGCCAGCCTCTCTCCTCCCAGGACAGAGAGATCTAAATCAATTTTAGTTTAAAAACAGTGAAGGCACAAAGTAGAGAAAGGAGCAGATATGTCTCAGAGACTTACAGAGCAACTGAGATTTTCATCATCCCAAAGGCACTGAAAGCATTTCCTTATGATTAGGGCCCAATTCTCCCAGCAAAATAAGTTCATTGGCATTTCACTTGCTCAACCCTCTCCCTGTTTGCACTGGAGGCAGCATCCTTATGCTCAAGATAAGCTCTTTGGCTCAATCTCTGCCAAGTGTGTGCCCTTAGCTTTGCTTTTTACTGTCTCATTTTCTGCCCTTAAAAAAACACAACCACAACAACTCACAGCCAGGGGATGTCTCCCCAGCCTGTTGGCCCTGCTTCCAGTCTGCCACCGCCTTCTGTGGATTCACTGGGCAGTGAAAGGTGCCGGGCTGTGGGGGCTGCCCAAACCTGCTCTCTCCATCCCTCATGAGCAACCCCCAGCCAGCAGGCAGAGATCTCTCTGCTCCCTGCAGACAGCCACAGGACTGAGCCTTCTCTTTGCCTTCTCCTCAGCACTGAAGTGCAGGACGGGTCCCCTGGACATCGTGTTTGTGATCGACAGCTCGCGCAGCGTGCGCCCCTTCGAGTTCGAGACCATGCGGCGCTTCATGATGGACATCATCGGCAGCCTGGACGTGGGCCCCAACGCCACACGGGTGGGGGTGATCCAGTACTCCAGCCAGGTGCAGAACATCTTCTCCCTCAAGACCTTCTTCACGCGGGCGGAGATGGAGAGAGCCATCAACAGCATCGTCCCGCTGGCCCAGGGCACCATGACGGGGCTGGCCATCCAGTACGCCATGAACGTGGCCTTCACCACGCAGGAGGGCGCGCGCCCTCTGCACAAGAGGATCCCGCGCATCGCCATCGTGGTGACGGACGGGCGGCCCCAGGACCGTGTCACCGAGGTGGCCACCCAGGCCCGCAACGCCGGCATCGAGATCTACGCCGTGGGAATCCAGCGGGCGGACATGAACTCTCTGCGGGCCATGGCCTCTCCGCCGCTGGAGGAGCACGTCTTCCTGGTGGAGTCCTTCGAGCTCATCCAGCAGTTTGCCAAGCAGTTCCAGGACAAGCTTTGTGGTGGGTGAGAGCTGCTGCTGCTGAGTGGCAAGGGGGGCACTTGTGTCTGCTCCTCACCCAGGCCAGACCTTCAGAGGAGTGTCTGGGGTGGCTGCCCCTGGCAGAAGCAGGATGGAGGGGGAAGCAACCTCCCCAGTGAGGCGCCAGGACAGGGCACTGCACAGTGTCTGTGTGCTGGAAATCAGAGGGGGAGCACTGGGGCTGGCAGGGCTGGGGCTGTGTGGATTGTCACACTGATCTCTGCTACAGGGACAGGGCATATGCCAGAGCCAGGGTGCTCATGTGTCTGGCGTGCTTGTGGGCCACTCTGATGCCCGTTCTGTCTTGCAGGGGTGGACATGTGTGTGGAGCGGGAGCACGGCTGCCAGCACAGCTGCGTCAGCACCCCTGGCTCCTTCTACTGCGAGTGCAACCCAGGCTACAGGCTCAATGTGGATGGAAAGACCTGCTCCCGTAAAAACCCTTTTTATTTTCTGAACTTTCATAGGGAGTTTGTAGTTATGGGTCCCACGGAGGGAAGCTGACACACAGCAGAGGATTGAGGGAGACCAGCAGCAGCCTGAGTGCTCTGTTCACTGGGCCCACTGCCTCCCGGGTCTGTAATGCCTGCAGACATTCAGCATTACTAAATCCTGGCCACCTCTCTGAGATGGGACACTCGTGACTTATGTGGGCACAGCCAGCTGCCTCTCAGCTGAGGGGGTCCAGGCAGCGAGTACCAGAGGGTTCACAGCCCAAAGTGCGCAGTGCTTTTCCCTGGATTTTAGTGCAAAGCCATGTTAGTTGGTCTGACCACCACACCAGGACTTTCCCTTCTTGTTTCACGGTGCTGGGAGCTGCTTCGAAGGCCTGGAGCAGTCGTGCCCTGCTGCCCCAGGGAGGCTGGGGCAGGAGGGTGATGGGTGTCCCGTTGCCCCACAGCCATCGATGCGTGTGCGGACGGGAGGCACGGCTGTCAGCACCACTGCGTCAGCGTGCGCGGCTCCTACTCCTGCCGCTGCCGGCCGGGTTACCAGCTCAGCCACAACAAGAGGAGCTGCACGCGTAAGTGACTGTCTCCCTCCCTGACCCTTCTTTGTTTGCTTCCCCTTCTTTCTCTCTTCTGGTCTTTCCCTTTCTGCCATCGCTCTCCTTGTCTCCGCAGTGATTGATTACTGCAGCTTCGGGAACCACAGCTGCCAGCACGAGTGTGTGAGCATCCCCAACGGGCACTACTGCCGCTGCCGCAGCGGCTTCACGCTCCAGCCCGACAGCAAATCCTGCAGGGGTAGGTCCCGGCGTGCTGCACGGCACAGGCTGTGTCTATGGCACGTGCCTTTATGTCCTGCCCAGCCTCCAGGGAAGGGCTGTTCCCAGACCACCCTGAATGGGGATAACCCCATGCCCTCGGCTTGTCTTCCAGCCACTGACCTCTGCAACGGGGTGGATCACGGCTGTGAGTTCAAGTGTGTGAGCACAGAGGGCTCCTACCACTGCGTGTGCCCCGAGGGCCAGCAGCTCCAGGCTGATGGCAAGACATGCAGCAGTGAGTACTGGGACACTGGGACACCCCTTGACATTCTCCTTATCTGGGCTCTGTGCTCCTGGAGAGAGCTCACCTGAAACTGGGCTGAGGGGCTCTCTCGCCACTTGGGACTCTAAGCTAGGCTGGAAGAGGGTGGAGAGCTGGCTGTGGTTGGAGGAACACCCTGGCTGCTGTGGGGATGGATGCTTGTGTCCTCAGAGACATGGCCCAGAAGATGCAACGGCTTTAAGGAAAACTTGGGAAAAGAGAAACCTAGGCAAGACTTTCATAGGGTGTTGGGATATCAGTGGAGGTTTTTGGGGTGAGTCCCTTGGGCATAGTCTGCTCTCCTTCCCAGCTGCAGTTGCAGGGTGTTCCCACAGTGTGCTGAAGCCCCAGAGCTCAGCCCCAGCCCTTCACTCTGACAGTGGCCATGGCCAGGCTGCTCCTCTGTCACCTTCCCCTGTCCCTGCAGAGTGTGGAGCTGGGCACGTCGACCTTGTGATGGTGATCGACGGCTCCAAGAGTGTGCGGCCCCAGAACTTTGAGCTGGTGAAGCAGTTTGTGAACCGCATCGTGGACCTGCTGGAGGTGTCCCCCCAGGGCACGCGGGTGGGACTGGTGCAGTACTCCAGCCGCGTGCGCACCGAGTTCCCCCTCAACAAGTACCACAGCGCCGATGAGATCAAGAAGGCTGTGATGGATGTGGAGTACATGGAGAAAGGCACCATGACAGGCCTGGCCCTCAAGCACATGGTGGAGCACAGCTTCTCTGAGCTGGAAGGTGCCAGGCCTCTCTCCCACAACATCCCCAGAATCGGGCTGGTCTTCACAGATGGACGCTCCCAGGATGACATCTCCGAATGGGCCAGGAGAGCAAAGGAATCAGGTGCAGGGGGGGTTGGGAACCCCAAATTGCAGTGTTTTGGGCATCCTGGGATGGTTCCTTGGTGTGGCTGTCTCAGTGAAAAGCTGCAGCATCCAGCCTTGGGGAGCTGCATCCATGACAGACCTGCTCTGTTGTGGCCACAGGGTGCTCTGAGCAGCATCCTTTATGCAGCAGCCCCCACCTCCTCAGTGCTGCCACACTCCTGCCTTTCCTTCCCAAATTCCTGCTGTATCTTTGGGAAACCCAGAGAAAATCCTGCCTCCTTGCCTTTGCTCCCTCTGGGCTTGCTGCAGCGTGGCCAGCACAGTGCTCAGGATCTGTCCTTGCCACGCAGGGATTGTCATGTTTGCCGTGGGTGTTGGAAAAGCTGTGGAAGAAGAGCTGAGAGCGATCGCCTCTGAGCCAGTGGAGCAGCACTTCTCCTATTCTGCAGACTTCACCACCATGACCCACCTTGTGGAGAACTTCTCCCTGAACATCTGCCCAGGTGGGTGCTCCTGGCCACACCAGGGGACTTGACCCCAAGCCAGGGAAAGCCCTTCTGTCCCCACAGAGCCAGCGGGGTGGTTTGTGTGTCTGTCACCCTGTGTCAAGTACCCCAAGGCTGAGCTGGGCTGGTGTGGGCCCAGACTGTCACAGGATCTCTCCAGGCTCTTGTGGGTGTCGATGTGGGTCTCTGGGAGAGATTTGGAAGAGGAGAAGGTGAAGCTGGGGGAATTAATTAAAAGTCAGGAGGGGTTAATACAAAAGTATTAATGTGATCAAACACCCCTGTACCATTGCATGGGCAGAGTCTGGCAGTGGCACCCTGCCTTGTGGGATGGTCTGAAGGTGGCCTGTGCACCTGGTTCAGACCCATGCACCTTGTTCAGACCTGTGCACTTTGTTCAGACCTGTGTTTCTGCTGCTGCAGGGTTACTGTGAGAGTCTCCCTGCCCTGGGACAGGCTGGGGCTCCCCAGTGCCCTTGAGACCCCCACAGGGCTGCAGATACAGAGCCAATGTGCCCCCTGCCACTCCACCTTGAAGGCAGAGTGAAGCTCAGCACTGTTGGCTGTCCTTGGCACACTGTGACCACATGTGTGACAGCTCTGTGGGATGCCTGGCAGAGCTTGCTGGATCAGCAGGGCAGCCTGACAGAAAGCAGAGAGGCTGAAAAAAAGAGGGCAAAATGGTGGGGAGAGTCCTGAGGCTCGGTGGGTGGCTGCAGGGACAAGGGACCTGTCTGGGAGCAAGGGAGAGCGGGCACTGTGGGGCCATGGTGTGACAGCAGCCAAACCCCCTGTCACAGAGGAGGGCAAAGGGGAGACGGAGATCCGCAGCCCGTGCGAGTGCGAGGCGCTGGTGCAGTTCCAGACCAACACCGTGGCCATCCTGCAGAGCCTGACCGAGAAAAATATCCTTTGGGGTGATGCCTGAGCCTGTCAGGGTGCTGAGGACAGAGCGCACGTGGGGGAGGGAGGGATAGGTAGATGGGAGAGGGGAAATTTTAGGCTCTTTTAAGGGGATAAAGCATTTGCCCAGCAGACTGTCTGGCTCAGAGAGTTTCCTTAGCACATTCACTTGCTCAGATGACAGCCAGACTTGAAGACCTGGAAAAGCAGATTGCCAACAAGAAGTGATCCTGGCAGAAGGCTGCAGTGCTCGGGCACGGGGATGGATGTACAGTAGCTACATGACTTTGTTATTGCTAGGTTATTGTAAAGCATCAGTGTTTGTTCTTGTATTGCAAAATCCCCAGGGGGCTGTATTTAAAAAACTCAAAAATCCTAAAAACACACAAAAAGGAACTTGAACAAAGCCCCTGTGCAAAGCCAAGGGGTTCAGTTGTCATTCCTTGGTAGGTCTGGGATGAGGGGGAGCAACGATGTGGGCAGGCTGGTCATTGTACAGACATGAGTGTCCACAGAGTGACTGGGATGGCACGGTCCCCTTGGACCCTGGCAGACTGCTTTGCAAGAGAAAAAACTTACAGTGGTGTCACCTTGAGAGCCTCTGGTGTCTCAGCATCAGCTGCCAAGTGGTGGGGCCAGGACAGCTGGGTGGAGCAGGCAGCACAGAGATGCCTGATGCCCAGCTGGCCCCAGCGTGGTGCCCAGGAGGGATCCCATGGGAAGATGGGCGGCAGGAATTCTTAGATCCCCTTGCCCTGGTTTGGCAGAATAGTTTGGAAATTGGCTTTAATCTTGTTTGGTTTTATAATCACATAGCAAAATGGTAATTATTCTTTCTATCAGTATCTATGTGTGTGTATATACATATATGTATATTTAATTCTGAGAGCAGGGTAGTGCTGTTTTTAAACTCTTGTTTTATATAGAGGAATTTCTGTCCTGACAATAAACACCCTGAAGATTTGTATGACATGTCCCTTTCCTTTCAGCTGGGCTGCAGGGTGATAGATGTACCTCTGTGTCAGAGTGGAGTCTCTGGCTTTTGCAGCAGATCCTGTCCCCAGGATCCAGCAATCCTTTGGGGAAATCTTTGTTCTGTGGCACCCCAAGATGCTGCAGGCCTGGCCCCAGATGGAGGGAGCCAGTGTGGCACGGACACTGTGTCCCCATGGGCAGGGCTTGCTTTGGAACCTCTGCTTGTAGGAGCACAGGGAGCTGGGAGCTGAGCTGGGCATGGAGCCACCGCCTGGCCAAGGTGCCCATTGAGCTGCTCTGGGGTGGGTGCTGAGCAAAGGGACACCCAGGATCTGCTCCTGTGGATCCCTGCAGACTCACAAAGAGCCACCCCTGACAGCAAGACTCTGCTCGGGGCAGTCTGCTTTCTCTTGATTTTATCCCTCAAGTGTTCCTTTAGTTCCTTTCAGCAGATAACAAAATTCCCCTCTGCTCCCCATGGAGCTGCAGCCCCCCAGGACCCATCCCTGCCTCCAGCTCTGGGGTCCTGAGCACAGGAAGGACCTGGAGCTCTTGGAGTGAGTGCAGAGGAGGCCATGAAGGTGCTGCAAGGGCTGGAGCCCCTCTGCTGTGAGGAAAGGCTGGAGGAGCTGGGGATGCTCAGCCTGGAGAAGAGAGGGCCATGGAGGGGCCTCCCTGCAGACATGAAGGGCTTGAAGGGTCCCTTAGGAAAGATGGGGACAGAGTGTTCAACAGGGTCTGTGGTGGGAAAAGAAGGGAGGATGACTTCTGCAGGAGGCTGATTTGGGTTAAAATGAATGTGTTCTTTTACACTGAGGATTGTGAGGCACACAGAAGCTGTGGATGCTCCATCCCTGGGAACGTCCATGACCAGGGGGAGAGGACTCTGTCTGGTCTGGTGGGAGGTAGCTCAGGTTGGAATAAGATGATCTTCAGGGTCCATTCCAGGGCAAACCAATCAGGGTGGTCATCATCACACACAGCAAAGTGGGTGTTACTGCACTCAGCAGGAAATACTTTTCAGAATACAGTTCAGAAACCAGACTGCTGGAACAGGTCTTAGCAGCAAACAACCATTGATTGTCTCCCCATCTGCACCAGCCTGCACCCTGCTCTGAGAGAATCTCTGTCACCAAGTCCCAGACACTGTCAGGGACTGAATGGTCAGTCCTGAACGGTCTCTGCTGCCTGGACCTAGCCACCCATCCCTGCAGGATGCCCGCTTTTGTCTTAATGAAGGTACAGTGCCATTCCATGGAGGAGGACACCCCCAAACTGCCTGGATGGGCTGGAGCTCTGTGGGGTTGGTGTGGGACAGGGACCCCACTCTGAGGTTTTGTTCCCTATGCAGGCTGTCACTGACACTGAGGAGGGGATGGAAACTGATATGAAGGTTGATAGAGAAGAGAGTATGGCTACAGATGTTGAAGAGAATGGAGATGAAGAAATGGAGGTGGATGTGGAGGAGGAGATGGAGGAAGACATGGAAGTGGATCTGGAGGAGGAGATGGTGGAAGAGATGGAGGTGGAAATGGAGGATTATGTTGAAGACATGGAAGTGGATGAGAAAGGTGAGGAGGAGGACCTTGGGGTGGTCTTGGGATGAAGATGGAGTCCAGCAGCAGCACGGGCAGGTGCTGGCCATGCCCTGCCCACAGGCAGGGTGGGTTCCTGCTGCCAGGCAGGGGCTGGGCTGGGTGGCCGCACTCAGGGACACGGTGCCCAGGGGTCCCTGGGTCCTGGTGGCACAAGCAGCACCCCAGCCTGCCCTGTGCTTGCTTTGGGCCACGCTTTGGGTGCCACTGCCTGGGGCCCTGCCCTCAGCCCCAGCCAGGCTCCGTGCTGGCAGCAGAGCCCTGCTGTGCCAGCGTGTCCCAGCCTGGGGACACGGGGAACAGCCCTCTGTGCCTGACTGGAGTGACCTTGTCGCTTGCTTTTCTTCCAGGATGGATGGAGATGCCGGGCAGAGATGTCACCCTTCTGGATATGTATAGAGTGTTCTTCAGTAGTCTTCCGTATATATGTTTTAGAGAGTGCTGTTGTCTTTTGTAAATATGTTTCCATATATAATTGTTACATAGATTCTTGTGTAAATATGTTTTAGAGTTTGTTTTCTTTATAGGAATAATTACAATATAAATACATATGTTAGATGTGTAACTTGTGGCTCTTCTCAAACCATTATTTTGATACCCCCGCTCTCTTTCGGTTTGAGTTGGTGACAACCTGTGATTGTGATTTCCTTTTACACTTTGTGATTTCCTCCGAACATTGTGGTTTCCTCTTTCCAGATTCCCCAGTTTCGAGGTGTCTGGGTAAGCTGGGTTGGGGGTACCTGCACACAGAGCAGGTCCCACTTAGATGTCTGTACACATTTTGTATGTGTAAAGGCAGCTCCCACAGAGCCCTTTCTCGTGGGATTCCTTCTGGGAGCAGGGCTGATCCTGCGTGGTCCTGCAGATCCTCATCAGTGACACTTCACTAGGTGGCACCAGACACCAGCGCTGGGAGCGTGAGGCTGGGCTGTGGGCACCCCGAGCTGGCCCGGGGCTGAGGGGAGCTCCCTGAGCCATGAGCCAGGCAGGGATGGAGGGATGGAGGGATGGATGGATGGATGGATGGATGGATGGATGGATGGATGGATGAGGGATGGATGGATGGATGATGGATGGATGATGGATGGATGATGGATGGATGGATGGAGCTCATCATCAGGCTGAAAGGTCTGCATCACCTGGTGGGGCACAAGCTGTTCCTGGGGGGCTTATCCCCCGGGGTAAGGTTGGGGGATCAGGGGCTACTGGTCTCCCTCCTTTCCCTTCCCAGGGAATACAGACTGCAGAGCCTTGCTCTGGCTGGGAGAATGCAGCATCTGCCACAACACCCTCAAGCATTGCACACCTGGGGCCTTGCAGCTTCAGGAGGAGGGACACTTCATGGAGAAGAGCATGAGCCATGTGGAATGGGAACTGCTCTGGGGAGTGCTGGGGCAATGGGTGCTGCACAAGTAACAGAACGCAACACGAAGGACTGCAGGCAATCCTGTGCCCAGAAACACTGGGTCATGGTTCTTTCATGTGAGTTTGTAACAAAAAGAGTTCACACTTTCCCCCCTGCTGTGAATGTTCTTCAGGTGAATTTGTTTCCCTCCCTCATCCCTTCCATCTTCTCTGCAGCTTAATCCAATACTTGGTCCTTGATATTTTCTCCTCCCTTGGAGGCATAGGTCCAAGCACAACCTCAGCCAGATTCTGGCACCAGCTGGGAGCACAGCAATGTCCTCTCCAGCCCCAACAGCAGCTGAATGGCAATGGATTGCTTAAAAATTGTGCCAGTGCTTGTATTCCTCATTAGAAGTGCTACGTTGCTGGTGCACAGGCCAGAAAAACTTTTTGGTTTGGCTATATCATCTGCATGTTATTTAATAAATGACTTCACAAAGAGCTAAATGCAGCCACAGAGTCAACAGGGAAATGGGACAATAATTAACAGATACCAGGTTAGTTGGGGTCAAGTTAACAGGGCCTGTTATGACTTGAGAATGGAAGTCTGAGCAGGAAAGGGCACAGTGAGACACCCACCACGCCCTGGATGGAAAGTGGCAGCTACAGGGGCTGGATCAGTGCAGTTCTGGGTGGCTCAGGGGCTGCACAGAGCAGTAGAGGTGATACTGGGCTTTTCCTGCTCTTTGTGCCTGCCTGGTTGTGAGATCAGGGGTTGCCCTTGGCAGGACTGGGGGAGGTTGGCTGTGGGAGCCTTTCCCTACCCAGGCATTCCCAGACCATGTTTCCAGGGCAGCTTGGGCTCCTGCCAGCCACAGAAGTCCCACAGAAATATTTCAGGAACCACTTACACAAACTGAGTGGAACATTGACCAATTGGTGGGAAGTGGAGTAACTTCCCATTGCCCAAGGGCACCTAAAGAAAAGATTTGCGTAGAGGCCAGGCCAGGATTACAATTTCCTTGAGAGGAAGGAATGGGTGGTGGGACCTTTGCCATCCAAACAAGGAATACATCCCCTAATCCCGACAGCCATCAAGAGCTGGGCTCAGTCAAGCTGTCCTTGTGCTGCATCATGGCTGATGACGGGTCTGTGAGGAGTGGGTTATCCTTCCCCAGAGGGATCAGCCACTTTCTTCCAGCACCAACCTGCTTCCTACATAGCAGAAGCCACCAGAGAAGATACTGGAGCTCAGGTGGCCCCCCACAGAGCTTGAGAAAGACTCACCTTGGGCTAAGCCAAAGCTGTTTTCCCTCCACCAACTCCCAGTGAGGCAGGAGTAAGGAGGATTTGGGGCTGGGGCAAGGTACCTCTGGGAAAAAAACTTGAAGGATTATTCCTGGGAAGGCACAGGCAGCCTCATGCTGATTTGGATCATGCTGTAGGGTTTGGTTTGCAGGACCATGTGCAAGCAAAGTACAGAGGGAAACCCATTTAACAGACCTGCAGAGGAGAACACAGGCACCACAAGGGTTTCTCCTGAAAAAGGATACCTGGAGAAGATACCTGCCAGGAGAAAGCAGCTCCACTGCCTGTCAGGGTGGACAATGCTTTGGCACATCTTCCTTTGGCTTGTCCCTCAGCCCCAGGTGTGGCTGCAGGGGTCAGTTGTGCAATGCAAAAGCTGCTTTTTGAGCAATCAAACAATCACTTCTGAACCTTGCGCAAAAGGCTTTTCTGGAAAAGCAACGCAACAGGCAGAGGAAGGAGGCACAAACACCGGCCCGTGCCCAGCTCCGGTCCCCACCCCCGTCCTCCCCAAGGGTTTAAATGCGGGTGTCCCCCACCCCTCACGCTCGCACCTCTCGGCGACACGGCAGCATGAAGGCGGTGGCCGCCCTGCTCCTGGTGGGGATGCTCGTCCTCTGGGCAGAGCTGCCAACAGGTAGGAGGTGCCCGAGGAGAAGGCACGGGGAGGAAAAGCTCAGGAGCTGGGAAGGAGACAACTTTACATGAATAAGAGGGGAAGGGGAGGGGAAGGGGAGAGGGGTGTTTTTCCTGCCCAGTGCCCCTCGCTGCCCTGGAGCCAGCCGGTCCCTCTCCCGCAGGCAGCGCCTGGTCCTGCCCGCCCGTGCGCTTCACCTGCGCCCTGCACAACCCGCCGAACCAGTGCTTCATCGACCGGCACTGCCCCCGCGGCAAGAAGTGCTGCCGCACCTTCTGCGGGAGGAAATGCCTCTCCAAGCCTCCCGCCATCCCCGTCTCCTACGGTAGGAGCTCCGAGCCTGCTGCTCACGGCGGCAGAGCGGGGGTGATGCTCTGGGGCTGTGCCCGGCTGCCAGAGCCAGGCTCGGGGGGACTGGGGGACAAACTGGGCTGGGGTGAACACCAGACCCAACGTGTTTCTTTCTCTCCCTTTCCCAGTGTGAGGTCCAGCTTCCAGGACAGACTGAGGGTCATCTCAGCATTGCCATGCCAGCTCAGCTCCAGGAGGATCACTCTGTGACAGCTGCTGCACTCTGCTCTGTGCCACCCCCTTCCCTTCTCCTTCTGCTCCCCCACTGCTGTTTTAACAAATAAAAGAGACTTTTCTCACGGGTGTTTGTGATGTGTGACTCCTTTCCTCACCTCCTCTCTCCATCCTGGCACACAGTCCCACTGCTGCTTTCACCCCAGAATTCCTGCTGGGGCAAGAGGAAAACAGGCTGGCTTCACACCTGCAGTGTGGTTGGGGGCTGGCTTGGGGGAGAAAATCCATCCAGAGGCACACAGCCTCCAGGAGGAGAGAGCAGTGAGAAGAAAACGTGTCAGGCTGCTTTAGGAAGGCTGCAAGGACCCTGGAGAGCAGTGTGTCCTCCAGGCCCCCCGAGCTGGACAGGGCTGTGCAAGGGACTGACCCTGCCTGCCCAGGGGCACACAGAAGGCAGAGCCTCCCTGTGCATACCCTACTTGGGGCTCATCTGGAGAGCAGAGGAGGGGCTTACACACACCCAAACCCCAAGTGGTGCTGAGCCCCTCTCTGAACCTGAGCTGGTGGGGAAAATTCAGCTGAAGAATCTGGGAAAGCCTCAAGCCAGGGCAATAAAATCATAGCTCCAAGGGGTTACTCGGATTTTTGTACAGCTGGGGACAAAACTTCAGGAAGTGCCAAGGAACATCAGCAGAAGAGAGTGCGCACAGGCTGAGGGACCTGCTGGCCTCGGTGCAGTGGCAGAACCAGGCACTGCCACCACTCACTGCAGGGCAGAGCATACCCAGAGGGGGCCTGCCAGCCCTGCCCTGCCCTGCTGGTGCCAGGCTTGCTGAGAATGTCCCATTCTCCACCAGACTGGGGGAGGAGGTTGGTGTGCCTGCACACACCGAGGGAACTGAGGGGAGCGGCTGCTGTGTACGAGCTGGGCTAACATCCCCACGGCCAGGCACGAGCAAAGCAATCTGGAGAGCAGCACCAGCTGGCCAGATTTCAAACCACCCACAAACACAGCAGGGTGAAGGCTCTGGCTGTGGCATTGACATCTTGCATGGTCCGTGGGAGATGCTGGAAGCTTCCTGGCCGAGACTGGGGAGAGCAGCTGCTGGAGCGAGTCCTTCTGTGGTCACATCTGTGTAGGTGACCTCTTCTCTGTGGAGCAACTACAAGGAGGCAAGACTCAGAAATTACTCTGAGAAGGGGGAAGTCCTGTGATGAAAAAAACAACTCTTTGCTTAGCCTGGCCACGGGAGGGCGGAGAGAACCAGAGCTCATGCGGCGCTGGGAGGCTGAGAACGCCCGGTGATCCGGCAGGGACACGCGAAACAAGAACCGGGAGCTCATCAGCCAAACTCGGTGTAAAATCTGACATTGCTTCTGCCCGGTGTGGGATCCTTGCAGGGGAAAACTCTCCCTGGCAGCAGGCCAGCCCTGTGCTCAGGGAGAGCAGTGCCTCACAAGCCGTGGGCTGGGAGAGGCTGAGCGCAGCGCTCCCGCAGCCAGCCCCGCATCCCGCACGGGCGGGGGCATCCCGACTGCAGCTCCCGCAGCCAGCCCCGCATCCCGCACGGGCGGGGGCATCCCGACTGCAGCTCCCGCAGCCAGCCCCGCATCCCGCACGGGCTGGGCCGGCCCGATTGCAGCTCCCGCAGCCAGCCCCGCATCCCGCACGGGCGGGGGCATCCCGACTGCAGCTCCCGCAGCCAGCCCCGCATCCCGCACGGGCTGGGCCGGCCCGATTGCAGCTCCCGCAGCCAGCCCCGCATCCCGCACGGGCTGGGCCGGCCCGATTGCAGCTCCCGCGGCCATCAGTCACAAATCCCAGCCCTCCTTCTCCATCAGCACCAGCTATTATCAGCTATTAAGCAGGCATTTCCATACAGCTGGCTAATTTGATAATGCTGCAATTATCTTGGTTTGTTAACAAGATTAAATTGCTAATTGGTTTGATTAAGCACAGAGCTCCAGGCGTGGGGTGCCTCTCAGCTGGCCCTGCATAACCTTATGGATGCCGTGCCCAGGGCAGCAGCTCCTCTGCAGACACAAGGAAATGGCAGGAAGGGCTCATCCTCCCAAAACCTGCTGCCTGAGGCCTCCAGAACTCCCTGTGAGAGGTGCCTCTACCTGCTCTGAGACAGCTTTGCTCATGTCACCACTGTCACCCAGCTGCTGGCCCAGAAAGGCAGCAGGAGATGCTTTGGGCCAGAGGATGCTCTGGGGACATCAAGTCTGTCTCAGTCCTGCTGCTTTCTGTTTTGGAGCCCTGCAAGTCAGAAATCCCAGAGAAAATTCACCAACTGTGCCTCCACCTGCAGCTCTGTCAACAAATCCTCTTCCTTTCTCTTCCCAGGCACAGGTCCCTGCCTCCTGGGCACAGCATTTCCAGCTATCACCAGCTCTGCTGGGGAGCCTGGGGAGCTTCCAGCACTGGATTAGGCTCACCTCTACCCCCTCCATGGAGCAGCACCCACCTGGGAGGAGCTGGGCAGTGCACCAGAACACACACAGGTCAGGATCACTGCTTGTGACAAGCTCCTGGCAGCATGCATTGGCTGAAATATTTTGATTTATCCCTCTGGGGAGGAAGAGAACTTCCCTCTTTGTCCTAGGTAGGTGTCAGCAAGACAAGGGGAAAAGCAATGAGTGCTGTGCCAGAGATTCTTCCCACATCAGCTCTTTGCCCAAGATCAGAGCAGCCTGGAGAGGAAGGTGTTCATTTTCTCTGCCTGGGGGCTCAGGACTCACTAATTCTCCTGGGACAGGCCCACCAGGTCTGGTGCTGGGAATGTGGACAAAGGCTGCACTGAAGGGCCCAGCTTGGAGTGAGAAACATCCATCATGGCACATCACAGCAGCAGCACCACTGCAGGGCAGGCTGCAGGTCTGCTTGCTCCATCTTCCCTCAAAGCAAAGGTTTTCAGGCCAGTCACTTTTGGACAATTTCCCAAAGGAAACATCCAACCCTCCCCAACATCCCAGGGGATGGAATCCAGAGTGTCTCCCCAGGGATGCATCAGCACCACAGAGCATCCTTGCTCCAAGCAAAGTCCTTTGTTCCACTCTGAAATGTGCACAGGTCAGAGGGTGGAGAAGTCAAGTTTCACCCAGAGCACTGCAGAACATCTTTAATGTTTCCTTGGAGCCTCCCCCTGCACATGTCATGGTCTGGCTCAGAAGACTGGGTGGCTGGGGTCTGAATACAGAACAGTTTGGTGCTCACTGGTGATGTGAGACCTTTTCAAGAGATGATTCAAAGCAGCCTAATAAGAATTACTACAGCTTTGACAGCCTTTGAAAGGGGAGGGTTATTTAGCTAGCCTGGCCTAGGAGTGGGAATCTGTAGTCCCAGCAGGATCTCAGCAATCACATTAGTTCCAGAGGAGAAAATACCCTGGGCAGAGCAGATCCACTCAGCAGCAGCTCTGCCCATGGTCAGGAGCTGTGCACTGCCTGCATCATTCCTGCTGAGGGGCAGCAATGTTCCAGGAGGGAAAAGGAGTCAATAGCACCCTGCTCCCCACCATAAAATAAATAGATACACACCTCTCCAGAAAAACAAACTATCCTCACAGCTAAAGGTCAACAAATGTACAAATTCACTCTGTGCTTTCATCTGTGGGATGGTTTATACAAACTCAGCTCCTCACCTGGACCTAGGCCCTCTCCAGTGGCAGGGAGAGAGTGGTCTGGGCCAGAGCTGTCTCACACCAGCTGATGCCCTCCAGCATTTGCTTTCTGAAGGCACAGGGCTGCTTTGTCTTACATGGCCAGGATACACCAGTAACCCTCCCCAGTGCCCTCCCACCCTGGCCAGTGAGCAGCAACACAGGACAGCAGCTCCCACCGTGCTGGGAGGGCAGAGGGGAATCCTGGAATTGTGTAGTGTGGAGGGAGGCAGTGTCTGCCTCCAGGGCACGTTTGAGAGCACGGATGGAAGCTGTCCCTTCTGCCTGGCTCTGGCACATCAGCCCCAGCCCCCTGCAGGGTGAAGAGCTCCAGAGGGGTGGGGGCTGGCAGGGGATGGAGCCAGGGCTGAGGGATGCCAGAGCAGCCCGTTGTGATTTCTCTCCTCCTAAAGTGCTGCCAAAGCTCACAAGCTGCTTGTGACAAAGGCCTTCAGTCTGGCAGGGAACAGCTCTGCCTGCCCCAGCCAAGAGGCAGCAGAGCTGTGCTGAGCTGCTTGGCTCCATCCCCCTCCATCCCACCAGGAATCCTCAGCAGGCTGCTCTTTGCTGCAGCTGCACAAGGCTGTGCATGCCCAGGAAGCCTTTCAAATGCTGGCAGGACTTCCCTGAGCCAGGGAGCCAAAAGGAAAGCAAAAAAGGTGAGGCACTGACAGCATCCTGTAGATGAGGGAGATCCCTACATGCCAGAAATCCTTTTCCCCACACAGAAAGAGAGGAAAGGCGACATCTCCTTCCTCTGCAGCAAGCCACACTGCACGAAGACACATGTAGAGAGCTCAGCAGGAGGCTGGCAGTGGCACAGGAAGGGCAGCTGGGCCTCCTTGTGTCCCATGGCAAGCAGGGCAGCTGGGCTCCATCATCCCTGCCCTCTCTGTAGCCCCATCTCTCAGCAGGGCACTCCCTCCACAGCCCCTCAGAGAGGCTGCTGTCTGTGTTCAGCCAAGCAGCTGGGATGTTCCACAAATAACAGCTCTGGCAAAGGCTGGTGAGGCACTCTGAGACTCACAGGAAGCAGTTTGCAGTGAGGAATGCAGCTCCCATAGATGCCAGCCCCTGCTCACCACCAAACTGCAGCACAGATCTCTCCTTGTGGCCCACACCCGGCCAGAAACTCACCATCACTCCCAAACCCACCAGCACAGGAGCAAAGGTACCTGCACCCCTCCCAAAGGGGCTGCCCACCTGCAGAGAGCCCCTCCCAGCTGAAACCAGTGCCTCCCTACAGCCAAGTGCTCAGCAGGAGGAGGGTGGGTGTTTATGCTGTATGGCAGCCCAACGAGCTTCTCTCTCTCCCCAGCTCCAGCCACAGAGGGGAATCCATTTCCCAGCTCCTTCAGGTCCCACCAGCAGCGCTGCACGGGGGAATTCCTGTCTCTTCAGGCCTGCCTGTGCCAAGGCACACACAGATGCTCCTTTCCCTGACATTATGTAGGTTAATA